AAAGGAACGCGATTTCAGACAAGAGAGGACATTATGGCTGCAATGACAGCCGAGCTAAACTCCATTTCGAAAGAGGCTTTCTCAGAATGCTTCCAACAATGGCGGCACCGCTGGGAGAAGTGTGTGGAGTCCCAAGGAGACTACTTTGAGGGCGATTAGGTTCCAACGCTCCAGGTATGCCAGTTTTTATTTCCCGGCCAAAGGTCGGATACTTTTCTCACAGGCCTCGTACACTTGACAAAAGGGAATGATGGCACCAGGTGTGTGCCTGCCCTCATCCTGAATTGTGCCTACTGTCTTTAGTCATGGTAACCCATTGTACTGTTTCTTATTGTCCAGTCTAATTCCAGATTATTGTGCCTGATGACAATATTCCATTAATTTTTCTTGTGTTCTCCTCCACACAAATTCCTCTCCTATTTTTTCAGGTCGAGTACAAGAAAGATCTTGCTTCCCCAATTCCAAGGATACACCCATCATATGGGAAGTAAGGCTGGGGTGTTACATATATGTGTAGTGTAGAGTAGTAGCCATTCTTGATTGTTAGATTCAGCTGGAACACAGGTCTAATATGCTACTCCTTGTACCTGATTTGTTAGTGAGTATCTCATATATTTCTCAAATATGAAATGGCCTGACTTGTAACCATAGCCCTACTACACACCCATATTTGGTTTCCTGCTTGTGAGATGATGGAAGCTCAAGTAAAAGGATTCTTTATGACCATATCTTTTGCTATTCCACCTATGCAAATAGCATTCTTTCCTTGAGTTGGATGTGGTCTCTCTCAGAATACTGGCCTATCAGGTTACCTGCTCCCTATTGCCACACTCTGGGCTTTCCCTTTCTGACTCTGTTTTCAGAAAAGGGCTCATTTTTATAATTTTTGTGCACTGGTCCCCTCCACCATCTTCAATGTAGAATTTTAGTTCCTTGTCATGCAGAGAGGTGAGAATTGTCTCATAACTCTATGGTCCTGGCATCATTTTTAAATTCCTTTCTGTGTATGTACTACGTTGCATTCAAAGTTTAATTAAATGACTTTATTTTCAATATATACTGATGAAATTAACATTATAATGTATGCTATGATTTGAATTTTTGTTATCCAAGTTATAGTTCTTTTGCTACAAGGGAAACCTCTCAAAAAATATTAAAACTGCAGTTTCCTCTTGTTACCTCTTGTTCAGTGCTACTCTCTATATGCAAAATTTTTTATGCATGCCACTAGCCTTTTATCTCCTCTCTATTGGAATTGACTGATGTATGTGATGTGTTATCCAATTCCCTGCTTTTCTATGATTCCTTATTACCTCCATGTAGGCTTGTTTGTTGTCCTTGGATTTCGCTTTACCCCTCAAGGTGGATTCCAGCACATGGTGAGGGGACCTCCCAAGGAAGGTTCTGTATATTCAGTTCACCTACTCTGGGATCTGAACATCCACACATGTGTTTGTTGTGTGTGGTGACCCGTGAAGGGGAGGAGAGGATCCTGGTGGTTGAGTGGTGTCTGGGGCATTGCAACACACCAACTTGGCATTGAATTCCTGTAGACAGGTGGTTCCTCCCAAGGTCAGTCCACTGGTCCTGTTGGGCTAGGGTGAACTGAGTACCAGTGTTGGACATTCTGAATGAGTGTTGTGGACATTGTGTCTGATGCTGGTGTTTGGGTATGGTGCTCACGAAATCCTGGCCTAGCTGCAGTGTCCTTGTTTGGCATTGTAAATCATCCCCTCATAGGACTCCATGTTGGGTGGGGTCAGCGGGCACTGAATCGTTCTCTATGTATTAAGGATCCCCCAATCCTAAAAAAATAGTAAAAAACAGCTAATTGGTAAACGACCTTGCATAGACTACTCTGTTATGCAATCACCACCGCAGTCATAACCTATCCCACGATTTCTAATTCTTTATCTGACAGATACTTTGGGCAAGTGTCTCCCTTTTTCATTCAAAAAGGATTAGAGGGGCATGCTGGCTTGCCCATGTCGGTCAGGAAGTTATGCTCTGGAGACATTTTGGTAGAAACATTTACACATAGCAAACTCCTCCTGAGGTCGAAGACCATTGGAGATATACCCATTGAGATTACTCCCCATGGCACTTTGAATTCCTCTGGAGGAGTTATCGTTCAGAGGGATTTGAAGAACATCCCCGAGTCAGAGATCCTCGCTGGTTTCTCCAGCCAAGTCATTTCTGCTGTACATCGTATCTCCACTCACAAGGATGGAATTATGCTGCTGACAAATGTCTTAATTTTTATGTTTACATCACCACATCCTCCTGCTTCCATCAAAGCAGGCTATTTGAACTGTAAGGTGTGGCCATACATTCCTAACCCTCTCAGATGTTTCCATTGTCAGCAGTTTGGATATTCGAGGGCATCTTGTCATAGTTCTTTGATGTGTGCTCATTGTGGTGACAAAGTCCATGATGCTCACGAATGTGAACTAGACCCTCACTGCGTCAATTGTGGTGGTTCCCACCCCTCTTACTACCGTTCTTGCCCTAAGTGGATAGATGAAAAAGAGGTACAACTGTCTATAAACATTTCTTACCCCAAGACTCAGAAGTTATTGTCCCCCATTCTATCTCAGACATATGCTGCTCTACTATAATTCATTGCTTCAGTGGGAGTACAGACACATCTTTCCATGCCTCCAAAAGAGTTGTTCTCCAATCATGAGGAAAGTCTTTTGACCTCAATGGATAATTGAGTTGATAAGTCTATGTCTACTCCTATCTCTGGTCCACCTCCTTTGGCCTTGGCTTCCAGTATCTGCTCAGGTCCATCTTCTGTGGCCCAAGATGCAAAACAATTATTCATTTATGCCCTCAGCCACTGGAATCTATGTCTACTGACAGAGACCTGCTCACTCGAACCAGGGCAGGATCCAGGGGGGTCAAAAGACCTCCTTATAATAAAGAAAAATGGCTTGGTCATAAACTGAAGGGTTCTCCACCTACTTCTCCTCTACCTTAGTATAATTGGCCACTTTGATATAGTGGAACTGTCAAGGTTTCCATTCTAATCTGGATGACATTAAGGCATTAGTTACTTCCTATGATCCTGTGCATCTGTCCTTCCAGGAAATATTCCTGAAACCTGCTGATACAGTCACCTTTCAGCAGTTTACTTTATACTGGAATGACAGGTTGTGTGATGAGTGAGTGCATGGATAGATGGTACTACTGTTGACCAGAGTGTGCACACCTAGTCTGTGCCATTCAATACATCCTTGGAGGTCATAGCCATCTGTGTTTCCTTGGGTTGTAATTGAAATTTAACTAAGTGAATTGAACTCTTAATAGTCTGAGTGCAAGGTGATTTTCATTTAAAATATAAAAACACTTTACTTTAACTGATAGTTTCATATTTCATTTGCATAACCTCTAGACTCTAAATGAATATTAAAAGTTTTTAAGGTAAGTGTTTATATTTTCATTTTCTCTACCATGTCACTAACTGTAGATATTATCATCAGCATACAGTGCAATGAAATGTTTAAAATCAAGAAATAGAAAAAATTTGCATACCTTTAAATTTGTCGTAGAATATCTTAAAAGATTTTCTTTTGGTTATATTTATAATTACACGTATTTTCCTTTTCACATATATAGTTAATTTTTAATGTTTTATTTGCATTTCCTGTCCTTTTATTACTCTTCTTGCACAAGTTAACAGTGTCTTTGGAGTGTAATTACAGTATCTTTAGCAGAGATGGACAAGCATTTGGCAAAATTATTTTTTCCCAACACAATATCTTAAGCCTTGAGAACTGACACAAAATATATGTATATTTAAAAAATGCTTATACCTTTCAATTATACATTGTAGAACATAAATAATAAATAATTAACTAGGATGTAAAAGTAAGACCTAAATAAAATTTAACTTTCTCTCTAACCATAACTTATTTAGCTAAGAAAAAAACTATAAGCACTATCAGGGATCAAACAGCCAACAATACTACAGGCAGTTAGATCTACCAGATGATGACAAATGTGCACGAATTTGGTGGCTTATAGTGTAAAATAAACTCTTTCTAATGACTATATACATGTATATGTAGTAACTACATGTATGTTATAAAGCTCAAGCAAAAGTGTAGAAGGTGAGTGTGGCTCCTGTCAAAGGTTGACAAAATTTATTATTTGTTTCTACTCCATTCAGCGAGAAAACTTTGAAACTTATGTGTCAATAGAGCAAATTAACACATAATTATCTAGACATAACATCTACAGGACTGGTATTATCTTAATCAAGATAGGAAGTGTGAAAGTTGATATTTTTCATAGCTGGTGGGTCACATGACAACAAAAAACTGAAGTTTAAGTATTTTTTTAAAGGTTTTGTTTGAAATAAAGGAATTAAAACTTAGATAACATAAAACTTTGAATCATAACATACATTATAATGTTAATTTCATTCACATACTTTGATAGTAATGTTGTTTAATTATAGTTTGAATGTAACACAGTGACTTGCATAGAAGAGTGTTCATCCGTATTGTTTCTTAAATAAAATGACCATATTAATATAGTAGTGCTTCTTATTTTGGGTAGCTTTTAATTTGATTATGTTGAATTTTTTTGTGTTCAGTAGTATATTTATAGTTTACTATGTCATAGTGATTAAAGCTATTGAAATACACAATAGACACTTCAGGTAGGCTGTGTTAAACCAATGTATTATTTTGTAGTGATTTATTTTAGCTTGAACACCATATGTTACAATTTTATAAAAATATCGTAATTTTGTTTTGTTTAATACATCAAGTTTTTTATTACCCATTTGGAAATCAAAAAAATAATTGAAAGAACAATGTTTTAGGTAACAAGATAAGCATTGATTGTAGTTATTGTAAATATATCTGACTGATTTTATAGTTACAGTATGTCACAATACTACTAAATTAAGTTTCATTAGGATTACTGAATAATTTAAATAAAATGCCAAGTACTGAAGTTATTTTTCATCATAATGTTTCTTCATGTAGTATGTATATATGTTAACCACTCCTGTTCCTGTGGACCTTACTTGGACCCCCAAAAAGTTGCTCAGCTTCCCATCCATTTTGGACCTGGCCCTTTGAATCAAGTACTGCAAGAATCTATACAAGCCTGTCTTGATTGTGCTAATAATGAAAAAAGTGTTTTCAATCTTCTTAAACCAGGGAATGGAAAAGTCATTATTACAGGTAGAAAAATTAGTGGATATGATACAGTTTAACAAAAATAATTACTATGTAACTACTTATGACTTTTCTATAAGACAGTTTAAGTTTTATTATTTAGTAAATAAAGTTTTTTCCCTCACAGCCAACATTGATGGAAGAACCAATACCTGTTGTTTACCCACTATTGATAAAATATCCACATTTTGGAGTTTCTTGGAGAATATTTTCAAAGACTTGCTTTGTTGTGAAAATCTTTACACCAGTCAAACCTTAGAGGGCAATTGTAAGAAATGCAGTACTAGTCTTGTAAAAAGAGGTGAGTCTGGGTATTTTATTCAAATACCCATGGTTTTTAAGAGTATGTAAATTAGTACTACAAATGTGTGTACTCAGTACTTCACAAACAGATAAGGTTTAGTGTAAAACATAAGACATATTGTTACGTCATCGAGATCACGTGACTATTCTCACACCCTCTTGTTTCTAGAACTATCCCGTATCTTGGCGAATGCTCTAGTATTTACTAGATAGGGTAGGCTGGTATATAAAAGAGGGGAATGTAATGTGTGTGTAGATAGTGAGTAATTGAACTGCTGTCAGAAGTATTGTAGACGTTCGTTGTTACAGCGTTTGTTTAGCGCGATTGTTGAAGTTGAGTGTATCGGTAAAGTTATATTCGGAAAGAATAAACCAGTTTTATTAAGTAAAGACTTGTGTCGTTAAAGTTTCGTCGGAACGAATTTACGGAGAGTTAATTAACAAACGGAGACGTAACAATATTTTTTATTGTTGTAATGTACTAGTAAATTAAAGACATTAATAGCTGCTTTCAAATGTTGCTCAAAAACTATACTACTGTAGTTACCCCTTATTTTACAGCATGGAACAGAGGTTTGGCATAATTTTTCTTTTGGTCAGCATCATCCAATTTACTAATATATCTCACTGACACACTCAAAATCCTGTATCACCAGTGTCTATCATAAGATTATGGAGATTAAACACTTCTGAATGAATGGTCTTTGAGATGAAGTGCTTCTAAATGTAGTGATTGTGCAGTAACACAACTGGAACTGTTCTTTGTACCCATTTTGAATGTTCCCTCTCTCTAAACAGGAATGTTGTCGTGTAATATGATTCTAATGTCAAGATGCTCCTCTTTCTTTCTTTCTTTTTCATATATTTAACTCTCTTGCAATGGCCATCCTTTTCAGTACATGTCATGAAATTTTACTGAGCTACATTCAAAATTTTATCAAACTACTTTCTTAACATAGTATACAAATAAACTTGGCATAAAAATATAGCTAATAATCCAAATTTTAATATTATACAAGTTTTCAATTTTTATTTTAAGGTAGTATTTAAAAAAAATCCTCAATTCCCCTAGTAAGAGAATTGTGACATTTGCTCTCTAGGTATCCTCTCTTCTCTACTTTATTTACCATCCATCTGAGAAGTATGAATTTAAACTTAAATTACTCATTATTATGTTTTATTGCTCAGGCAAAGTATAATTTATATAGCCTTTAAGTTATTTAGTTTGTTTATTTGTTTGTAAGTAAGCACAAAGCTACAAAATGGGCTATGTGTGCTCTGCCCACCACAGGTATTGAAACCCAGTTTCTTGCATTGTAAGTCCGCAGACATACCACTGTACCACTGGGGGGGGGGGGGTCTTATTTGGTTACAGAGCCATAAAATAGAAAATCAGACCCCTCTTGTCTCACCCACCTGTCACATCCTTTCTTTCAGAAATTGCCAATAGTTCTCTCACACGTTTAATACTATATTATTTATACATTTTGATAAAAAGTTTAGAGAAACCGACCTTTACACTGCAAATATATATATAATGATTTTTTTTAAGATTTATTATTTATAACCAACAGAAAGCCAAATTTTTAAGCTATCAAATGAAGTATTATATTATGTTGTTTTCTGTACAGAATATTGACTGTTTTACTTCCAGTTTAAACTTTATTCCCACAGGAAACACATCATCGAGATAAAGAAAGGTATTTTTAATCTTAATATAAAAATCACTTTGCACTTGGTGCAGCAAACACTTTGACTCCATATATTCATGGAGAATTCTTAGTGAAAATACTAAATTAAAAATTCTGATTATCTGTCTACAAATGACTTTTAAACAAAACATATCAGAAGTTATAGTATGGAAACTCTAAAGGTAAATTTTTAGGTCAAATCGACCAAGCCTGTAGCATGTGTAGTGTTCTTAGCAGGAATACATTTAGTTTGTGCTTTATACCATTTAAGTCAGTATTAGCATTTTTAATATTCACGATACCTATATCTATCTTCACTTTATTTTCTCTTTAACACTGCATTAGTATGTTTGCATCCAGAACAATTTTGTAAATTTCTCTTTCAAGGACTCAGCACCATTTCTGAGATTGTCAATGACCACAATGATAAGTTCTTTTAACTTTTCACTTATAAGTCATTTCATTTAGTTGAGAATTAACCCTATGGCTACCAGTTCTTATACTGTAAGAACTTAACATTGCTGTCATTATATTTGTCTCAAAAATATAACTAGTGGATGGAATTGTTTGAAATTTGATAAGAACTTTCTTAAAAGTATGAAGTTTCAGAAAAATAAAACAATTAATTGGATTTTTTTCTACTGTTTCTAATAATTTTTTTTTATTTAACATAGTTATTTGCACCTGTACTCTGTGTAATTCATCTG